AAATAGAAATCGCAGGTATTAGTCTCATACGACAACGCCCTCTATAGTTCGTTGCGATCGCGAATTGAGCGAAGTTCGCTGTCAATGGACAAGTAGTCAAGAGAAAATAAGAATCTAATTGGTCCGTTATTCGAGAGATAACATAAATTTTACTAGTCAGATTCTCCGTCTCCCTCGACGGTGACAAGAGAATCACGCAATGAAAATCAATCAACAAAGCATAGATGGCGCACTATATTTTGCTGCAACTGATGTGAACGAAAACCTTATTGGCTTGTTTTTTTACATGCTATTGTATTTCACCAATCAGCTTCTTATTTGCATTATGGAATTTTTTTCTCTGCAGTGAGAACAGCTTTTCACGGATTATTTTTACTGCCGTGTTTTTTTTTAATATGCGGATTCACCTCATAATTATATTATATAATTTTGTTGGCAACATTAATTCTTGCTATTTTTAGTTAGGAAAAATGTGGCGGCATAACAATTGTAAACAAACAGCGTGAAGCACTAATGTTATTTAAAGAATGTTTATATTCATATTTTAAAGTATATTTGAGTAATGACTATTGAATAAATTTATTCAGCCTATTTGGAATTTTAAAAGACTGTCATGTAATATCTCTAAATGTTTATCGGTTTGTAATTGATGCTGAGTACTAGTAAAAAAAATCACCATTGCTTGGTTATTTGCTTATTACCACCTTCTAATGGATGAAGAAATGATATCATCCAATGATGAGGGTGAACTTGAGACCGATGATGAGGATTATTTACCAGTTATAGAATTATCCGATAACGAATCTGATCATTCTGATGGAAATTCTGTAAGAGTGGTAAGCTCGTAATGTCCCATTGTTGTTGAGTTCTATTTCTATGATTTATGACACCCTTTGGAGTGATTTGTGTCTTAAAATGTATTGTTCTTTCTAGTAAGAAATATCTTAGCACTGAATTATTCAGTAAGGTTCTTTAGCAGTTAATTTATAGGTTATGTGCATACTGTTTTTTTATTTCTGTTTATAGTTTAAGTGTTTCTTGATATTTTCTCCACAGCCATTAGTTAAAGCTTTTATCCTTAAACAAAATTCTAAGAAATTGTTTTATGCATATGTATTGTTTGAATAGTTTGGTAAATAAATTGCTAAATGCTTCTTTCAATGTCAGTTTTTTTTAAAACTTAAAATAACTGTTAATTAGTCTTGGCATTCATTAATGTTTTATTTCTTCCAGAAAGTAGTTGAAAAGTCGTTTTTTCTGGATAACACAACAGCCTTGATATTAAATTTTAAACTTTCTTATTTGTCTTACTACTTTTAAGCGCAATATTTTTTATGAAATTAGATATTTCTGAAGTGCCTAATGCAAGTACTAAATGATAGTTAAGTAATGTATTTATGAAATACCTTAAAATTATATATATATATATGTATATATATATTTATTTTATATATATAATTATTTATATTACATAGTAAATATATATATATAAATGCAAGGTTAACACTTACTTTAGGTGACATCAAAATACAGTGAAACTTCCTAAGGGCAAATACTGCGTTACTTAACTTATTTATCAGAGTGTCCTTCGATGAGATAGGCCTTAAATATATCAAGCGTCTGTTTAGAAGAAATTTGGGACCCTTCATAAAATAATTTATCTTTTAATCGGACCCTTCACAAATTTGTTTATTTTCATTATTGGTTTGTTAATCAAATAAACCCTTCCCAGGGTGAAGGGAGAAAGACGGTTTGCGACAAACTAAGTTTCCCTAAGTTTAAATTAAGTATTCTAAGAAAATATTTCTACTTTTAAAAATCTTAAGTGTGCATTCTTATTAACATTAAGTCATATGTTTTTTTGTAAATAAATAATCAATTTATATTTATTTATTTAATTAATTAATAGAATATTATGTAAATAAAAATTAATTTCTGGCAATTTTTTAAATAAAATATTATAAATTTAGGAATTATTTAAGTTTACTCAATGCTTAACACATTAAAAGTGATATATTACTAAGTAGTGTTATTTAAAATATGTCAATTGAAATTAATAAAAATGCGAGTGATTTTGTTTCCATTATTCATCCAAAGTGAATAGAATATTCCGTGTTGAGCAATATAGGCTAAATACCAAANAAATTTATTTTTTCTAGAACATATGTAGAAACACTATCCTTCTTTAAAAAATATATAAATTTTATGTATTAATTAAATTTCACATATGAATATAGGTTTTTGACATTTTTGACAGTGAGGTTTTTGACGTGACGGTTTAAACCATGGTTTAAACTGTCAAAAACTGTCACATGTCAAAAACCTGCCAACCCTGATATGTATATATATTTGCGACTTTGGCACTATAGTTTATGTTTTAACCAGATATTACTGGAAGCTTTAAATTTGTCAAAAGTCCTATATTGTAAAGTCTAGGCCTCCAACTTGTTTTTGTCCATATAAGGGTAACAGCGTAACAGATGTTATTTGTTCATTCCTTCAGCATTTTGAGAACATGATCTCAGATGTCATTTAAACAAACTTTTTCTCTGTTTAGATATGTTTTTCTTTGTTTAAATTTTTTCTTCAAGTGATTTAATTTGCTATCATGTAAGGCCAAAAAAGATTAACAATAAATCTTAAGAATTTGTTTTTAAAGGTTTATATTATTTGTTTTTAAAAATTTTGACCTTTTTTATTGTTTTATTTATTTTTATGTAATGTTTTCTTGTAAATCTAAAGGCAGGGTTTCTTCTACCAAACTTACAACAATAAGTGCTATAATAACAAAGCCTAAAATAAACAAATTTTAGTATACAAAATAGTAAAATTCTAAAAATTGCTCTGTTGTGATAGTATATAAAATTTTAGTGCAATTTAAATTAAATAGATGATCCAATAACCTTAAAGTTTCATGTATCACAGCTTCTTACACATTGATTTCTCATTTAAAAAAAGAGGCCAAGAAGTTAGTAAAATTCATATTAAAAAATTCAATTGACTTTAATGCTTTTTAATTTTTAGGAGAAATTTTATCAAATTGACACTGTTCTTGGTAACATTTAGCTACTTTCTATTGTTTCTAGACAACTGAGTTTTGATGTTTATAATTTTTTTTAAAAATTTTATATTATGTTAGCATTTTATTCACAAGGCAATGGTTTGTGATGTTTGGGTGAAATTTTATTAAATCACCTCTGTTCTTTGTAAAATTTAGCTCCTCTCTTTTGTTGCTATACTACTTATGTGACTTTCATATATTTTTTTAAAAAATTATAATTTGGTGTTTTATGTTAGCTTTTACTCACAAGAAAATGCTTGTCGTGTTAAGAGAATTTTCTCAAATTTTATCTTTTGAATTTACTGTGAGAAGTTTAATCAAGTTTTCTCTGTTGCTATGCAATTGAGATGAGTTTCATAAAATGTTTTTACTTTTCTCTTATTTCCAGACTTTTAAGTTGGTAAGCAACAAATTTATCTAGAGGAGAAATTTTCCTTAAGCCACCCTTTCTCAAAGAAGAGAAAAATTAGTCCCTTCTATATTTGTATATCTATACTATATACGTGAATGACTAAAATAAACAATTTCTTTTTGCTTTAATTTATTTATTGCTAGTACATGAAATATATACATAATTTTGAGATTTCTTTTAAATTAAAAAATGCTCTAATTGAACAATTTTTCTATTTATTGTGCAGCGTGCGGCCGGTGCACGTACACTCATCCGTTCTTCTCCAGAACCTGACTCAGATTCAAGAGAGGCTGATGTACCTGTTCATTCCACACCTGTAAATCATGATGTTGCTCGTGCATCTTCACAGCGAAGAACTGTTGGACCTAAAGGTGCAGAAAATTCAATGGATGAGGATGGCCAGGTATCTGATCATACGATTTTTTAACTTAAGATTAACAAGAATATTTATATTTTTGTTTTATATAAGAAACACAATGACTTAGGTATGTTATTCCAAGGGCTTAAAAGAAAAATGTTTTTATATTATCAAAAATATTTCTTTTTCAAACTTCAGAAGAAAAAAAAAATTTTGTAATAAAGCAGTTCTTTTGGCCAGGGTAAAAATATAGCTTTTAGTAAAAAAAATAGTTATAAACATTCAATTCTGTATTTTCACACAAACCTAATGTAATTTGTAATAAAGTTTTTAATTAAATTAACTTATTAAAAAGTGTGATGGTTTGAAAGTTTTTGTTTTAAGGTATTGAAAAATGTAATGTAAATAAGCAATATAACTTTCATTCAAAATTTATTCAAACTGTTCTGTTATTGAAAGGTCAAATTTAATATTGATGTGACTTACGTTTTTTATTTCAGGTCTAACAAAAAATCAAAATATTTTTCCTCTAAACAAGTTTTAATTATTTTCTTTTTTTTAAGTTTTGTGTATATTATTTAGTTTTTATCGAACTGATGTAAACTTGTAAAAACCTAATTTCAAAGCTGGTGTTGCTAAAAAATACAAAAGATTGTTTCAAGTTTAAATTTTGGAGTTAATGGTGTTGTTAAACTTCTNTGAAGATAATTTTGTGAGAATTGTTTTGATAATTCGGTGAAAATTCACCCGATTAGACATATGATGCTTACTACGTGCTCTTGCGTGTCGAAGCCTATCAATTAAAACGTCTTAGCGTTTTATGTAATATAGATTAGCCATATGATGCTCACTACGTGCTCTTGCGCGCCGAAGCCGCGAGAAACGAAATATCATCGGTTTTATTGATACATACGTATTAGCGTTTTATATAATGTAGATTATACTGAAGTTAAAATTTAGATGTATCAAACTTGAAGTTTAAGTTGTAATAGCTTTGACTTGTATTGATAGCTCCATGGATTTGCTGGTAAATTTAGTTACTTATTATAAATCTGTAAATATTTACCTTAGGGTTATCGAAAAGTTAAAATTTTTTGAAATTTAAGTTGTAATAGTTTTGACTTGTTTTGATAGCTCAATGGGTGTACTGGTAAATTTAGTTACTTATTGTAAATATTTACCTTAAAGTTTTCGTAAAGTTAAATTTCATATTAGGAAATTTTCGGGAATAATCGGTGTTAATAATTTGTGGTTTAAACTTGTCAAGTGTACAAATATTGTTATTGTTTATGAGATGTGAAATATTGTCTAAGCTTTTTCTAGTTACTCAAAGACTAGTTTAAATATTGTTAAGCATGTGTATTTTTCAAATAACTGAAATTTATATTTGAAAATGTTAGAGTGCTTTGGATTGACATTTTCTAGTGATTGAGAGGTAATAGTAATCATATTTAAGTCTAAACTCTTAGAATGTTAATAGTCAAATGTAAATATTTGATTAAATTTTTCATGCTTAAGATTGTTAAAGTAAACAAAATAATCAAGTTTAAATTTAATGAGGAATTCTATAATTTATCAGTTAAAAATAAAACTTGAAGATTTGTTGGAAACTTTAAATTGTAGATATGGTTTGTTGAAATAATGTAATTCTAATAATTTATTTTCATTAAGGTGTTTTTGCATTGACATTATGTAAATTATGTGAGACTGTAAGTAGAGCTGTCACTTATACTTCAATGCTAATGCTTGATACAAAATGTTTCTAACTGTTGATTTTTGTTATCATCTTTCAAACATCGTGTTTTGTTGTGTTACTTCTTCACTGTTTGGCATTTATCATTTAAATAATGGTTATGACTAGAGCCCGGATTTTGATGACCTAAAAAATCTCAATTAATGCCCTTAAAAAGAGCAAAAAATGCCCTTAAAAATGCAAAAATTGAGCAAAAAATTCCTTAAATAAAGTAAAAATATTGAATTAAAAAAATGTTTTGCTCTTTAAAATTATTATGAGTCATTTAAAGAATATAAAGCAATGCAATACTTGTCCTACGTTCATTAAAGTTTGAAAAATATGTTTTATATCCTAAAATAACAAAAAAAGGAAAATATATTGACACCAAAATGTTTTTATTTTGTATAGAAACTTTAATGGATATAACAACTTCCATCTCATAATATTATATCAGAATTACGTTGGATTATTAAATGTTTTTTGATAATTTGAAATGTAAACGAAAGTCTCTTGTCTGAAAGTAAATTTTCATTCCTGCAGAAGCTTCTTTCAACGTCTACTGATGTTATAGATGCATACTTGAAAAAGACGATCTCACTTACTGACAATTCTTCTTCAATTTGAAAAGATTTTGCTTCACCTGTTAATATCCTATAGATTTTCTTCATTGTTTGGAAGCCAGTGTAATAATAAAAATTGATGAAAAATAATAAAAATTGGAAAAAATTAACAAAAAACTTTAAAAAATTCATTAAAATGCAAAATACGCTCCAAAATTTAAAGAAAAATGCCCTATTAGTCTAAAAAAATGCTCTAAAAGACAAAAAATGTCCAAATATGCAAAAAAATGCAAATGTCATCAAAATCCGGGCCTTAGTTATGACATTGTGAATGCCCTAAATTTTGATTTGTGTGCAATTATGCTGGTCTCTAGCCTGCACTTTGCACTTTTCTCACAGTTATTACGTTGTTCTGATTTCACTCTATTTTCACTGCATGTGGCAAACCAAAAACTTTAGTGGAATGGTGAGTAAAAGATGAGCTTGTGCACAATTTTAATTGCTAGTTTAAAAATGTTTACTGTTTGAATCAATTGCTGAACCTTTTTTTATGTGTATATCCTTAATTATTTTAATTTATTACTTTTTTTTCCCTTTTTTTTTTCTCCAGAACTGCACAATTTGTTTCGAACCATGGACAAATTCTAGTGAGCATAGATTAGTATCTCTAAGATGTGGTCATTTATTTGGTCGGAGGTAATATATTTTCAGTAATATTCATATTACAAGTATATTCAGTTAATACGTATAATTTTTATGTATTTTTATTAAAAATGTTACATAAATTCATTAATTTTTGTAATATCTTCTTTTCAAAATTATTAGCTTTGTATTTTTTAATTTGCTTTA